TCAGAAATAGACATAAGCGTCTACAGTTTCCTTGTCTACATGAAATCCGACGCTCCGATCGAAAGGGTTTGCAAATTAACACGTTGGCGACATTGCGTCCCACTGCTGGGACGCACCTTTTTTGCCGCGTGGGACATTGCGTCCCACTGCTGGGATGCGGCATGGGTAAAAAACCAATTTAAAAACGTTTCAAATTTTCAACAGCTACATATTGTACAGGAAGGCATTGTAGAATATACAGTAGCTGTAAAACTGCAGTTGTGTCATTGGGAGTATTTTACGGAGGATACAAAGGAAAGTGATTTCCTTAGGAAAAAAAGGTAATTTTTGGATAAATAGAACTGAAGCTCCACATGCAGATAGCTAACGTGATAAGGTAACTTTCTACAATAGCAGATCTGGATCGAATCCAATTTACTGCCTCTGGCGCCAAAAAATTCCTTTTTTGCGACCTCTTTCCCACGCTCCGCGTGTATGGGGCGGGAGTATTCCACAAAAATTAAGGGTTTACCTTGAAAGTAAAAAAACAGCAAAGTTTTACTAGCTTCTGCATTGAATACTAGTCCTTCTGCAAGTGTTTTGGTGTGTAAACGCCCTAGCATTCATGCGCATTCCTCAAAAATAGGGAAAAATTGCTTCGTCCCACGCGGCAGACACGCGAAAAGGCGCCTTGTCGCCAATGTGTTAAGGAAACGTCGCACCTTGCCGCGCTCGACAAAACAGCAATTTACGATTCTCTTGCCCATCTTCCGTGATAGTTCACTTATGAACGTATAGTCGCAAAGTTCTCCGCGAAAGACGTAAGCGAAAGAAATCATGGAAAACACTAATCAAGGACCTCCCCTAGCAGTCTCGCTGCACGAGTCCTCCAGTCCTGCTCTTTTTATACCAGCAAAGGCCTGCCACCTCTGGATCCAGTGCTAATACCATCTAATAGTGAAAAATAAAAGCGCACTGTCAAAGCTGACACAAAACAGCGTGTTTTGGTGAGCGGTGCAGCTAGGTAGGCGCCAGAAATGCTATTCGGGGCCATAGCGCCGTGACGGAGGGACAGTCTCAAGACTGCGGACCAGAGTACTCGAGCAAGAAAGGGCACCTACGAATTGGTTGAAGTTCAGGGATGTCTTTGAGCACTTTAAAGAGCACTGTTTTCCCCTGTCGCGCCACGACTGTCCACCTTCATTGAATTGATGAAAAAAGCTGAATGACCATTGAAAA